GCCCCCTGGTGGGCTGAGCTGGCCACACACACACACCATAAATAAATGTTTAAAAAAAAAAAAAAGAAAAAAGAAAGTAATTCAAGGGATGATCCAGGTCTTCTCTAATCTACATGGAGTGATCCTTCCACATTCCCTGTGAGGCAGACTCCTGCACCACCAGTCTGGCCTGAAGCAAGGAAGGTGAGGGATTGCTCCAGCCTCATAATGTCCCTGCCCTGAGACACAGGGGTTGGAATTTTGCTCAGTGGTACAGGTCTTGCCTAGCACGGTCAGAGTCCTGGCTTCAATCCCCAACACTGCAAAGCAAAAAACAAAGTTTAAAAAATAAGCTCCCCTAAGATGCAATTACTGTCTCTACCCAGACACTGTGGAAACTTTCTCACTGACTTCTGACCCCAGCGCCTCTCCTTGAAACCACACCCACCACCCAAGGAGAAGCACCTCCTGAGCAGGCAGCCTTTCCCTGGGCCCCTGGAAAGCTGAATATGCACTGTAGCAGCATCCTGAATTCGATTCCCAGTACCAAAGAAAAGGAACAGAAGTACAGATATATGCTGCAACATGGATTAACCTTGAAAACATTATAAGTGAAAGAAACCAGTCACAAAAGATCACGTGTAATGTAATTCAATTATATATGATTCTATATCTCCAAGAATGGCTAATACATAGAGACAGAAAATAGACCAGTGATTTGTAATTTTCCTGTTTTAATACTAGTTTGTACTCTTTTTAAAAAAATGTGGGAAAAAAAATGTATTTGGTTGTTGCAGGGTCTCACTACACAGCTCAGAATCGTGATGATCCTCGTGATTTCAGCCTCCCCAGCACTGGGATTACAGGCATATGCCACCATGCCTGGACTCTGGCCAGCTCAGCCTGCCCTGGGGTCGGGGCTGGCACAGCATGTGGTGCCAGGATTGAACCGCCATCCCTGCGCTTGCCCAAGCTTGCCTAAGCAGGCACTTCAGTCTGCTGAGCTATCTTACCGGCCCTATTTTGTACTCTTTCTAAAACATAAAAATTTTAAAAAATGATTTTAGTAATAGTTGTGTAATTTTATAGATGTGCTAAACACTACTGGCTCTAACACTTAAAATAGGTGATTTTTGTGGTATGTGAGTTATATCCCAATAAAGCTTCTAATAAAATGCTCAAAATTTATTTTTTTATTGTCTTTGCTTTTAATATAAGATTTGGTTTCATCATTTCTGAGTGTAACATATTTCTTCTAAAAATAGAGCTCTCTGCTTGTTTGGAAACGTAATGTTTACTTGGAAATGAGGGGATAAGGCTGACCATAACTTGGAAGTGACACCACCAATGTTTCATAGTCATGGGCAAAGCTTCGAGGGCTCCTGGGCGAGTCCCTTCCACACCCACGCTGAGGACACAGGACAAACACCCACGGCCCCACGTGCCTCTGCAGAGCCCCTAATGCACCTCACCTTACCAGGTAACTGGCCCTGGCTCCCTGGCACCAGACGGCAGTGGTGCTCCAGGAGGTACGAGAGACACAGCGGGCAGACACAGGGGCCCAAAGACACCGGGGCGGCCTTCCCACACGTGGGTTAAGAATGTAAGTGCACAAACACAAGACATAGGAACACAGGGCTAAGGGTGCAGAGCTCCCACCCTGGGCCAACGCAGACCTGGATTTAATAGCATGGAACTTGCCGGGGCTTTCTCACAATACAGCTAAAAGTCAGAATCTCCCCTGCCCGAGGAAGAGCCTGGTTAGCTCCTGAATCCAAAGATGCCCTTGATATATCCAGTGAGGCCGCTCTTAGTCTTCTGTTCCAACTTGTCCTCAAGGGGTGGGAAGGCCACGTGATTGAGGGCCAGGTCGAAGAACAAAGGCTTGCAAGGAATGGGCTGGAACCCAGGCGGGAAGTGCACGAGGTTGGCTTGCTTGGTGACGAGGGAAGGGTCCAGGCAGAAGGTGTCAAACCGTTCAACCAAAGGCTTATTGTCCTTTACTTGGGAGGAAGTTTCCGTTTGATGGGCATCGTTTGCATCCAGGATGGCGGCGGCCTGCAGGGAGCACTTCTCTGACCGCACTTGGGTGATGAGCTCGTGCACATCAGGCAAGTCTTTTAGGCTGTTCTTGAAGGCTCCTGAGTCAGAGTTTACTTCGTCTGCATACTTCAGGACTCTGTCGTACAGGACAAGGGCTTCGCTCCACTTCTTCACCAACACGTAGGACTGAGCAATGAAAAAACACCTGTAAGCTTTGAACACCAAGGTCTTGAGGCCTATCTCTCTCTGGAAGGTTCTGTCGTCCTCTAAGCCAGGAAGCTGTAGTAATTCCATCAGGTTCTGTAGAATGATGTCATAGAGCCGGATCAGGTGCTGCGGCCGGGGAGAGCGCTGCTGTCATCTTCTGGCTGCTGCTGCTGCAGCAGCGCCTTCTGCAGACCTTTAGCCATGTTCTCATTTCTCTTGATTGCCGTTGACAGCTTGATGTAGGTCAGGTAGCTGTGCAGGTACTGAAGATTAGATACCTTCCCTGACTCCCCCTCAGGGGTGTAATCTCTCTGTTTCTGATCTGGCTTGAGCTCCTCCCGCACGGCCTGGATGGCGTCCCGACACTCACTGAGCATGGATTCAAACAGACGCTCCTTGGTTTCTTCACTTTCAGCCTGAGCAATGGCTGCTTCGTTATCAGCCAAGCCTAGGAGAAAGATCCTCACTTTGTCGATCTTCACTGGCACCGTTCTCCCTCTCCACTCCACTTCACTCATGGTAGCTGCCTGCTTGGCTCGAGTCTGTGTGATCAGGGCCTCTAGTTTTTCAGCCAGGAGACCTTCAGCACCCCCAGACCTCAGTCTCATCTGCATGAGTTCATTGATAGCTGACTGGTCCCCAATATTATATTCACAGTAGCGGATGTTGGGTGAGATCTCTTCCACACGCTGATTATACAGTACAGCCTGCTCCTCTGTGAAAGCACTGGCAAGCTTCTTATAGATAGTTGTGCATTTGGTAAAGGCCTCTCGGGCAGCTTTCCACTCTTGGTGTTCAAAGCGCAGCATTCCTGAGAGGTAAGCTGTGTATGCCTGGGCCTCTAACTTTGTCTTGGCATCCACACGATTGCTCTCACACAAGCGTTCCAACTCCTCTGCATGCTTCACAGCTTTGCGAAGGCGAGACAGCATGTGAAACCGTTTTCGGGGTTCAGTGCGGGCTTCTTCTTTCAGCTGCATGGCATAGCTCCAGGCTCTTTCGGCATCCATCAGAACCAGAAGCAAGTATCTATTATCAGTCAGAAGATCTTCAGTTATTTTTTTTCCTGTGAATTTGTGTCTGTTCCCCATTTTGAAGTTGAGTGTTTTCCTAAGACGTCTCTGTCTGCGGGAACAGTAACCCCTGTACCTCTGAAAATCTTCATGCCGCAAACCATGCTGCTGCTGAGATTCCTTGATAATCTGAAGAATCTCCAAACTCAGGCTATCCCCGAATTCTTTGTTTGCCTTCGGCCCGGCTGAAGGGCGTTCGTTTTCTTTATTTTCCTCTCCTCCGGCACCACGTCCACCGCCTCCACCACTGTTACCGCTACTGCTACCGCCGCCGCCGCCGCCGCCGCTGCCGCCGCCACCCGGGACCTGCTTCTCGGCAGCCATCTTGCCCCTGCGCCGCCTATTTTTCTTTATTTATTTATTTATTTATTTTTTTTTGGTGGAACCAGGGATTGAACTCAGGCCTTTGCGCTTGCCAGGCAAGCGCTTATTCTACTGAGCCATCTCCCCAGTCCCTTGTCACAGCTAAATCTTGGAAGCAACCCAAATGCCCATCAACTGAGAAATGGATAAAAAAGATGTGGTATTTTTATACAATAGAGTATTACTCAGCTATAAATAAAAGTAAACTTGAGGCTTTTAAAGGTAAATGGATTCAACTAGAGACCATACTCAAGTGAAATAAATCACACTTGCGTGTATAAACATTATATTGTCTCTAGTGTAAGAACCTGAAAGAGTAAATACTAAAGATAGATACTATGACAGGGAAAGAATCTGTTCAAAGGGAAGGAAAAACTGGGATGAATAAAATGAAAAAAAAGATGGGAAAAATATGTATATATACAGGATAGCTTGAATAATTGTATACTGCTGATTTCTACTGGTCTACTGAAAGGAACTATAATGGGTGGATTATCTTCCATAATATGTATTATGAGAGACTGTATTATAGGAATAACAGAGTTTATTAATTATTTTCTGGTGTCTGCTATGTGCTTCCCACCTTTTACAAACTGGGAACACACACAGCCCAGTTCTTTGGTCCCTTTGCTTATATGGATTTCCTAGTTATCATGGTGACCATGATGGAATGCCATGCCCACCAGTATAAGATTTGGTGGGCTGTCATAGAAACAAGTTACAGCCCCAGGCAGAGATTTATGGCTACATATGGTTTGACTCTACTTTCTTTAATTTGTCTTGCTTCTTTTCTTATCTCTTTCATGTTTGTGAAGTTTTAACAAGGCAGGGGAAGGTGTGAAGGATGAAGCAATTCAGAGAGGGTCAGATACGGGTGACCTAACGCAGGTGTCTCCCTTATCACTAAATTATTCTGGGCGGGGGTCAATCAGAGTTGACTCTGCCTCAGTCTCTCCTATTCCTATGGTGAATTGGATATTATATGAGAGCTCCTTTGGCTTAGGACAAGATTAACCAAAGGCTGCTGTCCCCTACATCCCCCTCCCCAATGGCATATTTTTCTTCCTAAGAAATATAATGCCTATCTGAAGATGTCATCCTGACTTTTACCTGGACCACCTGAGCAACTCTCCTTGAAAGAAGAGCAATTGTCTCCATTTTGACTCTGCCTGACCCTATTTCCATGTATTGATATGTACAAAGCTGGCTAGGATTTTTCCTTATCCTTTTAATTGGCTTTAAGCAATGCATATTGGTCTAGCTGAGGTGCTGGTGGTAGTTTCTGAAGATGGCACACATGTTTCCCTGATAACCCATACCTGCTGCTCTGTAATATAAGCAGGGTGGAGACAGGATGAAGAGCTAATGCTTCACACTGTGGACTGGGATCAAGCCCCGTGATAGGGGCAATGACTTCCTGGGGCTTGAAAGATTACACATCAGAGCTGAAGCACCAGACCCCAAAACATTAGATACTATCTCAACAATATAATGCAAATTACTTTTTCTGCATATCCTTTTCTCTGCATATGACAGAAGTAAATGCAGGCCTCCTACCCAGCCCAGCTCACAGTACTCACCTACTTCCTGCAATTCTCAGTCATTCATCCTCAAGCCACTCCTCCTTCATGACTGAATAAAACCCAGGTTTGGCCCTGAGTCAAGACCTTTGTTCTGGATAGCCATCACCATGGCTAGACTTAGGACCCCTTATCTCCCCATAACTATAAATATGCCTTAGTGTCTTTATTCCCATAGTGGGTTATACTGAAAGTGGTAGAGTGGAATTAACTTGATGGGATTCTTTTTTTTTCGTGGAACCAGGGATTGAACTCAGTCCCTTGCACTTGCCAGGGAAGCACTTATTCCACTGAGCCATCTCCCTGGCCCCTACTTGATGGGATTCTAATAATTTATCCATGGGATTACAAATATAAACTTCCTATACCAATACAATGACCAGAAAGGGTTCCCTATATTTCCTATTCCTAAGGTGAATCGGATACTATACTAGAGCTTCTTTGGCTTAGGATGAGATTAACCAAGGGTTGCCATCACCTACATGCCCCTCTATGGCATATTTTTCTTCCTAAGAAATATAATGTCTATCTGAAGATATCAGCCTGACTTTTATCAGGTATTCAGTGTTATTCTTCAGCATCATCCAATTAACCTGTCTAATCATGCCCTGCATTTGTTTTTTTATCCAATTGACTAAACAGGGTCCAGCAGTACACATGATCAATAGGGTGATTATTGGCCTGGTGATTCCCAATATGAGGGAGATTAGTCTGGGACTCCAATCAAACAGAATCGTACTACCTGTGCCATCATAGCCACTATACCATTTTTTTTCTCTCTTCAGCATCATGGTCCAGTTTGTCTATGGTCTCCATGGTAATTCCCAATTTGTTAGCATAGAAATAGCACTTCTCTCCCAGGGCTGCGCTGAGCCTTTCCTGTTTCATGAACAACAAATTAAGTCCTCTTCTGTTTTGTAACACTACATCTGTCAGAGAATTTATCTGCTCATGTAACTGTTTTATCACTGTCCAAACTCCAGCTACATTTTATTCTATGCTATTAGTTGTCCATTGGAGTTGCTAGCAGGCAGTCTCTGAATGGGCTATAGCTCCTATCCCACTAGCCAGGCTTCCAGCTATAGCTACCCCAGCTAGAACTGGCACTAAAACAGGGGCCACCCTTCATATTCGAGTTTGTCCTTTATGTATGAAAACATTGGTGAATAAATGTCTGCCTCTCAGTTCCCCTCAGATAGTTTGTACTTGGGGAATCAACGTAGTTAGCAGTCAAAGGCCCATCCCAGTTTTCTGTCTATGATCTAGGCACTTAACCCATTGTTGCAGAAAAACCATGACTCCGGTGGAAACTTGTAGGTGAGATTTTTGCAGAGCTAGTTGGCTGCAAGTAACTTGATTTTTCCCTTGTTGGACACAAAAAAATCCCTTTCCATATATGGTCATTGTCATAGACAGAGACTGGGCCTCTCCTCTGAGGAACACAAGTGTTGGTTGGATGTCACAGGCTCTGAGGAAGCCACAGCCTCATAAAATGGTGGACTGAACCGAATACACATCCAACAGGTTTCTACTGATTTAGGATTAGACAAGTTTCACAGGTAGTGGGCTTCACTGAGCACTCGACAAATTTTAGGGTTAGCCCCCAGGCTATCTACATCTGCTTTTGGATTTCACCTCCCTGGGTCTTGGAGTCAATGACTTTGCTGATCTGTATTTGAGGTGACTATCTGACCCATGTTCTGTTCATGATATAACTCCCAAGTTAGAGCTTGGAAAGGGGCCATCACCCTTCAAGGGATGGTTTCCACTCAGGTGGTTTTGGAAAGTAGCCCTATGTCATATGGCATTCCAAAGTAAGCCCAGTTGACCAAAATGGGTCCTCAATATTTTTCAGTACAATCCTAACCTGTAAACAGAACCCACTGGAGTGCCCAGTGCAACAACAGCTCTTTTTTCCCTATATACTTGAATGTATCTATCACTTTGTACCTGGGGATGCAAAATCCAGCTTGGGGTCTCCTCTCCCTCCTCCTATACTGACTGTTTGGCAATTCCTGCCTGGGCAGAATGCCTTCATTATTGCAGCTATCTCCCACTATCTTTGGGCATACAAAGAACCTCGAAGTAACTAGTTACGTTGGGTTTGGCTACCATGGCTCCCAGCCAGGGTGGAGATATTGCTGTCTTTTGGATCTCACAGACAGGAAAGGAATGCTTTGTCAGATCAGCCTTTTTCTTCCAGAAAAAGAAGTTTTTCATTTTACATATCGGGACAACAAATGTTACAGTTTGTTGAGCACAAGAGGGGTACAAAGAGGCAAGCACAACCTGCCTGAGTCCAATAGAGTCCACCTGCGACCACTAGAGAGTATAGCTGGGAGGTTTCATCTCTCATTCTCTGGTGGCTACTGAGAGGATAAGCACCACCTGGAACAGCAGGTTTATTGTGGTAACTTGGCCAGAACTGCCTTTCATCTGAGCAGTTCAGAACACCAAGGTGCTCAGGGTCCAGAGGAAGGCAGGGCTGATTAGGTTTCAGCTACCCACTTTTTTACTCATGAGTGATGAATCCATGACATGCAACCTGTAACTTTAAGAGCAGTGGGCATGGTTAGGATGATGTCATATGCCCCACCCATCTGGGCTGGAAAGGCTCTTCCTTTCAGCTTTTGATTAACAATGGGTCCCTGGCTCAAAAGTGTGTATAGTGCTATGAAGGGATAGAGGGTGGTGTTCTAACACAGTTCTCTGTAGACCTTTCAAAGTCCTTTGGTTTTTTTGTTTATGTATTTGGCACAGGGTCTCACTATACAACTCCAATTTGTAGTGATCCTCCTGTTTTCAGCTTTTAAAGTCCTTTGTAATACCTGGAGTTGTTGCTGCAGGCTCAAAGCCCCAATTTCTGGAAGTCCCTCCAACACCAGTACCAAGGGTAGTAGCCTCCTGAAAAGGATTTCCAAGAGAGTAAGGCCATCCTGGTATGGGGTACAGCATGACTACAGCAGGACCATGGAAGCATAGACACCACCTGCCTCTTGGCACAGTTTGGACAGGGTTCCTTTTAGGGTAAGATTCTATTGTTCAATTTGGCAGGAGCTTTGGGCCAGTAGGCAGTATGTAGCTTCCATTTTAGGCCCAAAACAGTGGAAAGGCTCTGAATCACTCTACCCATCAAAGCAGGCCCATTATCTAAACCTACTGTGTTGGGGAGCCCACTCCTAGGAATGATCAATTTTATCAGTGCTTTTACTACCTCTGGAGGTCTCAGTTCTGGTGTGCATGGCCCCTACCCATCCTCAGTAGGTGCAAATAAGCACCAACAAACGCTTTTTGCTTCCAACTGTAGGCTTGATCTCAGTGAAATGCACCTCTTTGAAAGGGAGAGTTCCCTGTTGGCAGATGCCTGGTTTATGCTGTGGGCAAGAAACTGGATTGTTGGGGCTGGTGAGATGGTTCAGTGGTCTAAAGCACCTACTTAGAACAAACTTAGCAAAGCACAGGGACTGTGGTTCGATCCCCCAGCACCACATGCCAGCCA